GGCAGGTGTCCTCTCCACGCTGGCTGGGTGTCCCCCCACACTGGGCAGGTGTCCCCCCACACTGGGCAGGTGTCCTCTCCATGCTGGCTGGGTGTCCCTCCATGCTAAGCGGTGTCCTCCATGCTGGGCAGGTGTCCTCCTCCCTGGCCGGCTGGGTGCTTTCCTCCTGTGCTGGGGGTGCCTCTCCTCTTATCGCCTGGTTCCCCACCATGTATTCCTGGGGAGAGGGCAGGAGATGGGGAGCTCTGCGCACATGTGGGGAAGCCCTATCCCAGCCAGGCACACCTGGCCCCCACTGAGCCACGCCTCCGGCCGTGGCACCCGCAGCCCACAGGCTGTGGTGGACACACAAAGCCTTTAAATGTGGCAAATGTGGCAAGTGCCTTCAAGGAGCTCAACTTATTGAATGAAGGACTGGCCTTTATTCTGAGACTAAGTCTTTCCTGTGATTTTAGTGGTAAAATATTATTTTCCTTTCATGAAACATTTGAGCTAGATGTGTACTTTAAAGTCTTCCCTTGGTAGAACTAGAAGTTGGCAACCCTATATTGGTTCCCCTGTATTTTTAAAAACCAACGTTGTCCCTGAAATCCAATAAAAGAGCGTACAGCAGGGGTCGCCAAACCCAGCTCAGCACCTGCTTCTGTGAATGGTGTGATGGGAACACAGCCGTGCCCATGGCTGGACGCGTCCTCTCAGGCTGTTTCTGTGCAGCATTGAGGAGTTGGGACAGAGAATGTGTGACTGCAAAGCCTGACATACGTACTGCCTGGCGCTTTACAGAAAGTGTCTGCTGGGCCCTGGAGGAGAGTGTGGCTGCTTTCAGTCTGGCTCTAGCAGAGCTCACTGGACCCAGCCACGTTCCTCCTCGTGGGACTCAGTTTCCCCATCTGTCAGAAAAGGAGGTGGCCACAGTCAGGGTTCCAAATGTCTGTTTCCAGCCACCGTCTGACTTCCCATTCCACACATCCCACCTGGCCCCTCCTCAATGCCAAGCCCTCTCTCCTCCACGTCCTGGTCCCCAAGCCTCCAAGGGGTCTTGGTGCTCCTCCATACATGAGATCACACAGCAGCGGGCCCCTCCTGCCGAGGGATTGGCGGGGGAGGACCTCCTGCCTGACCTTCGGGAACTAGAGAGTCCTTCAGGACAGATCAGCTGGAAACGCCATCCCACGTTCTGTCCTGAGTGGGGAGAGCTTGGCCCCAGTGGGCAGGGGGTTCACGTGATATCGTGAGGTTATCTGAGCCCCGTAGAGGCGGAGGAGAGGGGCATCTGTGGTGGGAGGTTCTCAGCCATTCTGATAAAGTGATTTCTCAGTGACGCGATGGACCAGGGCAGGCGCTCAAAGGGAGCACGCGGGTCTCTGCCTCACAGCGGATCAGTAATCCTGAGATGCTGATGAGTCCTGGGCTGACTCGCTATCCCTCCACCTCCCCCAGCCAGTAGAGCTGAGTGGAGAAGAGCTCCACGCCCAGATCCTGGACCCCAGCCCTGCTCCACCACTGTCTGATGTGTGATTGGCCCGAGTTCCTGCACATTGGCAACAGACCGCCTGTGAGATTTCTCTGAGACGTGACAAACCCATTCACAAGAGGCCCTCGGGCCAGCTGGGCACAGGGTGGGGGCCCAGGAATGGCGGTGAGGGGCTGGGGCAGGGTGAGGAAGAGACCAAGGCAGTCAGAAGGGCTCCACATCCCCATCCAGCCCAAGAGACCATCATTCTCATAAACCAGGCCGGCCGTGCTGCTTTCAGTGAGTACAACAGACGGCACCTGGTCCCTTCTTCCCTCACTGGTCAGGGCTTTGCTTCTCTCCCTCCACCTTCTCCATGTCCCTACCATCATCCTGCCACCCCCACCATCACAGCTGCAGGGCCCCTTTCTGTGCCAGGCACGTGGATCCTCACAGGTTTCACAGACGAAAACGCTGGGGGCCGCCGGTGGAGGGAACAGTGAGTGCTTCGGGAAGCTGGAGTAGTTTCTCCCTTTGACTTTCTGAACCAGATGAGCCAAATGCGGTCACCACCAACCCCACGACTTTCCCAGCGCTGCCCTGTCGTAGAGATGGGTGGTTTCAAATAGTGCCTGATGCGCCAACGTTGGCCTCACCTGCTCGGGGATGACTGGCTTGACGAAGGCTGAACATCAGTAATGCTGCCCTGGTCAGTCCCACCGTCCACTTTGCAAATGAAATTCTGCAGGCGTTTGTTCGGATGTTTTCATAAGCAGTTTTAAAACCCTCACAAGGCAAAGTTATTTTTGTTTATACAAGTCATATTCCTTAGATGTACCAGTATATTTATCCTTTATATAAACATTATGTATATGTATGTTTATGGGAGCTCTGTGCGTGTGTGCGTGTGTGTGTGTGCACCTATGAGACACAGAGACAGAGCTCCTCATATCTTTCTGCATTTCCGAGGTGCCCTCTAGAATCGTTTTCCTTCCACCTGAAAACAACCTTAGTATTTCCTCTAGTGTGGGTCTCCAGGTGGTAATTTTTTTGTTTTATCATTTATCACATTTAGTGTCTATTTTTCACTTTTATTTTTGAAAGTTTTTTTCACTAAGTAATGAACTCCAGGTTCCTCGTGAGTTTCTCATGTTCCATTGTTTTCCAGCTTCCATCGGTCCTATTGAGAAGTCAGCTTGAAGTCTTCTCATTGCCACATTGAAAGTTTTGTGCTCTTTTAAAAAGGAGGCTGTGTGTGATGTTATCCCTCTCCATGAATGATTTATTTCTGCTGCTAGTAGGGGACACTGACAACCACAGAGAACCTCAGCCTAAGCAGTTAGCTCTGTGCGTGTGTTAGGACTGTTTCTTCCCAGTTCACCCTTGCTCCTAGGGTGCTGCACTTCCAGGTTTCCCTCTTAGGAAAATGCAGAGGAAAGCCAGCACAGAGGCACGGGGCTGTCTCTTTAGAGGGGAGCATGGTTGGGACCAGGCTTGTTGTGCTCTAAAGTAGTGGGGACATCATGATGGGGGCAAGGATCATCAGGGTGGGGTCCCCAGTTCCAGAGGCTGACGGTCAGCAGGCCGTGGCCCCTCCCACCCATTTGCTCACCACATAAATGCATCTATTTTATTGACCTGTAATTCACATGCCGTACTCTTTGACGTGCTCCTGCCTCTGCTTGCTTTTCTGTGTTTTCATGAAACGTGTCTGCTTTGAGAATTTTGCATTCAGTAGAAGCTGAAAGCTGAAGCAAACTCCTAGTCCGACACACCCAAGGTTCCCCTGCATCCCAGCTGGGCTTGTCCTGCCTGGGTGGAAGGCCAGAGTGCGGGTCTTCTCTGCAGGGCTGCAGAGGGAGGGCGAGGTAGAGGAAGGGTGGAAGGGGGATACTCCCTGCCTGCTCTGGGGTCCTGGAAATAAGTAGTAGCTTCGGGCTCCTCGCGGACCCTGCCTCCTGAGCGTGAGGCTGCCCTGCACCCTGGGCTTCTGGCACAGTCTGGCAAATGTCCGGCAGGGCATCTGTGTGCCAGGTCGCAGGGACAGCACGGACCCAGCCCCACCCTTGTGGCTGTAATCCCACAGAGGACACAGACGTTAAGCAGACACACAGCTGTTTCAATGCAGGTGAGACGAGGACGCACAGGGCCCCAGGACTCAGTCCAGAGGGCCAGGAAGGGGTTTTGGGGATGAGGAGGAGTCGGCCAGGTGGAGGAGAGGGAAGAACGTTCCAGATGCAGAACAGATTGTGGAAGATCCCAGGGCTGGTGTGGTGAGAGTCCTTCATCTCATGCACACAGGAATGAGCACCTCGGGTCTCTCTAAGGGCCCCCCGCATGACCAGCAGCCCCGTCAGCCAGCGGAGGCACTGTGCGGGCAGAGGCTGCGCCATCCCCAGGGCCCAGCAAGGCGCCAGCAGCCCGCCTCTGTGCGTGAACACTACAGGGCCAGGCACTCGACTTTCAGGGTTCTGGGGCATCTCAGGCAGCCACTAGGATGAGCTGAGCACACGTGTGCAGAGCCGGGGCAGGAACACCGGAAGGTAGCGGGCAGAGTCCAGCCCCAGGACTTCCAGGTGGGAGAGCCCGCCGTGCCAGCATCAGGAGACAGCAGTTAGGAGCTCGCAGAGAGGGGCCTCCACCGGGCACAGTGCTAGCTCAGAGTTGGTGCTCATTAGGCAGTGACTAAAGCCCCCACCCACCACTGCTGCCAGCAGAACTTGGTCCTCAGACCTGGGGATGCCCTGAGGCCACAGGGTGGGGTGTGCTGATGCAGTCCCTCCCCAGGGCAGGAAAGGCTGCTCGGCCAAGGGGAAGCCGAATGCCATTCTCAGGAAGTGGGGAACATACCAGTGTGCACCGTAGACCTCAACCCCAATGTGTCCATGGGGAAACTGAGGCACCAAGCTGAGAGAGCACGTGGGCAGCTCACTGAGCCCCTCTGAAATGCCAGCGGCCCCCAGTCCCACAGCACCCCCAGATGTGCTCCGTCTGACTGAGTCCCATAGGCACAGCCTCCCTGCTAAGCGGTCCCTTCTAGGTTTGTTTTCCACTGTGTCCTCTGCGGTGTTTATTATACAGCTTCCGTGTATCCAGACCTATACCAGGCCCTGCTTCAGTGCCTCTGAGCCCCTCCCTTTAAGCCCAGCCAGGCTGGGTTCTATGTGGGAGTGGAGGCAACTTGGAGGCACTGTCGGGACCTCAGGCCACCCGGCTCCAGGCCTGGTCTGCTGCCCCATGCTCTGGAAGCTTAGAGAAGTTCTTCCTCCTCTGAGGCCTGGTCTTTCCCCAGCTGAAAAAGGAAGAGGTCAGAGCAGATGACCTCAAAGGAACCTTGAGCTCTAGAAGAAATCCTTCCATGATTCTATAAAGTGGGGGCAGAGTCAGCAGGTGCACTGGCACCACCTCTGAGTACACCAAGAGGAAGAGGGTTCCACTACGCCAGACTCACGGAGAGCTCTGCGGTCGAGGGGGCTCTGCCCAGGTGTGTGCGGGGGGCAGCCTGTGGGGCAGGCTGTCCCCATCTGAGCTGCTGTCTCTGTTCCAGGAACCTACGTGATGACGGTCACGGCCAACGATGCTGACGACAGCACCACGGCCAACGGGATGGTGCGGTACCGGATCGTGACCCAGACCCCGCAGAGCCCGTCCCAGAATATGTTCACCATCAACAGCGAGACTGGAGACATCGTCACAGTGGCGGCTGGCCTGGACCGAGAGGTGAGGCAGGGCGGGGTCTGTGTGCAGGCGGGTGAGCTCCTGGTCCCCGCAGGACGCCCACAGGACCCTCGGGGAGCCTCTCTCGTGGCACAGTCGGGGAATGATCAGAAACCTCCCCAGTGTCACTCTCTTGCCACGGGACAGATTCAGCAAAGGAGGCTCTGGAGCACTCACCACCGGCTGCTATGGGCGAGGCCCTGTGAGATTTCCAGAACAGGCCCTGCTGGTGTGTGTGGCTATGGGTGGAGGCCTCAGAAAAGCAGGGACCACCCGCTGGGGTCTCGGGGTCTAGCCACAGCGGCACTCGGTATCTGGGGTGCTCTGACAGCCCCTCTCAGGACCTGAACACACACGCCTGCCTTGAAACCCACCCCTTCTGGACCTGGCGACTTCGAGGAGGCCCACCCCACCTAGGCTGCGGCGGCCTGGCTGTGACGAAGGGGGCATGGAAAAGCAGGGCTTTTCACACAGCCGGAAACCATCACAGCCAAATATATGGGCTGCTGGCTGGTGCCGGGTTCCATGCACCCCCACCTCCTGCACTGTCCTGTGGTCCCACGAGGCTTTTGTGACAGAGGCCTCCCTCCCGCTCTTCATCTCCAGTGCACGCCTCACTCAGAGACAGACCCCAGAGGGACGCCCTGGGCGGTGGGTGAGGTCGGGGCCTGCTTCTGCTCTGAAGCCTGCCAAGTGCAGGTGCATCTCCAGCGCTGGGCCATGTGCCCCTGGAAGATTCACCACCAGCTCCTGGGGCTGAAAGCGCCCCCCCAGCAGCCCCTTGAGTCCCCAGGTGCCCAGGACAGGGCATCGCCGGCCTTCCCCATCTCCAGGTCTCGCTGTCTGGTCTCCTGTTTGCACTGTGCCCACAGAGTCAGCGTCATTCCAGACGTAATTTACCCACTAAGGCATTTGGCTCCCAGGAGCCAGTAGAACCATCTCGCTGGGCTCAGAGCCAGCAGGTCCTGCCCATGGGAGGCCCGTTTCCAGAGGCCATAGTGCCACTTTCTGGCAGCTCCTCGGTCTTGCTGGCCTCAACTCTCCCGCTCCGAGTCAGCGGCTTCTGAGTGCGTCACGGCCCTCGAGCTCTGGGTGCGCGGGGACCCACTGCAAGCTGGGGCTGCCAGCTGGTCACCGGGGCTTGCTGGTGTCGCTTTTAGGGCTGGGGCTGGCAAGGAAGTGGCAGGTTCTTCTTCCTGGTTTGGGGCTGTGGGCCTCCAGTTTCTGCCTCAGCTCCAAAAGCCAGGGCTCACCTGCGGTGCCGTCTTCATCCCCGCCTTTCAGATCAACCAAAGCCAAGCTGCAGCCTGGAAAATGCCACCCGTCCCTGTCCCTGGGAAGAGCACAAAGGGGTTTTCCTGGAAATTCCTAAATCGTAAGGGGTGGTGCTCAGGATAGCACACGGGGGCAGAGAGGCCACTCGGGAGGTAACTCTCGGCAGCGTGTGGCTTGCGGGGGAGGCGAGGCGGCCCCGGGGTGGGCAGGGGCTCGGGACTCAGACCTGCGCAGCAGGGGACATTGTCAGCCTCAGCCGTGGTGCCTTTCGTCTGAGAGACGGAAGGGTGATGATGGCCTCGGACTCCAGGGATTGAGATGGAGTCGCGTGGCAGGCAGCGTGAGGGCTGGCACGGATGGCACAGGCGGGGACTTCTGATGCAGGATTTACATAAACGTTCTTCGAGTGATGTTGGCCAGAATGCCCGGGGCTCCAAGTGAGCTGCGGTCAGTCCCAGCACCTTCACCCCAGGACTGCAGGATCTGCTGAGGCCCTGCCGCCCTCCAGTGGCCAGGAACGAGCGCCCGCTGCGCTCGGACAAGGCTCTGCAGAGGAGCTGCGCCTGGCCCTGGTCCTGTCACTCAGCTAGGGAGATGATCTGTGGGCCCATGACGGAGTCAGGAGTGCTGTTAGTGAGGCCCACACAGATGTGGAAGAACCAGATACCGTCCCCTATCTCCTCTGTAGCCTGGGGTCCCCGCCTGCCCTGGGGAGAGAGGGCACCCCCCGTCTGCCCCTCCCACACACACACCTGTGCGCGGCTGGTTTCCACAGGCAGGCGCCTCTCCAGCGTGTTTGCACAGCTTTTGGCAGAGCAGGTGGTCTGACTGGAGCAGGTGCGTGCAAGCCTCTGCCCACACACTCCTGCACACGTGATGCTCCAGAGGTACAGATGGGATGGCACGGCTGCCGGCTGTGTCCAAGGAGAGGACAGGACAGCCGAGCAAGGGTCAGGCCCGTGGGCGCCAGCACCTCTGGGATGGCCCCTTGCAGGGGCAGGGGCAGGGGTTACCTAGAGCCCACAGGCTGCCCCATCTGCGAGCCGGCAGCTGCTGGTCTGTGACGGGGAAAGCATGGGGCAGAAAGGGCAGTGGCGACGCTCAGGGAGATCTGATGGGGCCTCGCCCTCCGGTCCCCGTGCAGGAGCATGGCTGGCTGCATGCTGGCCCCAGGAAACTGTTCTCTCCCTACTCTGTATTGGCCGCGAAGGAGCAACGGCCAATTGGAGAGGCAGCTGGTTCTATTGAGCAACCGGAGAACCGGGAAGGGGGAGGTGTTCACAGGGTTGGGTGCCTGCAGGGGAGGCATGCAGGGGTGCGGAGGGTTCCAGACACGCAGACGCTGTCCATAAACACACCTCTTCACACATCTAGTGTACAACGTGGCAGCAGTCTTCCCTTAGGGCAGGGGTTTTCTTACTATAATGATAAGCTGGGGACCTAAAGGAGACCATAGGCTGCCTGCTCTGGCCTGCACTGATTCCGTGCCGGTCCGTACTCCCTCTGGTTTCCGACGGGGTCAAGGGGCTCCCGGTGGCTTTGGGACCATCTGGTCTCCTTCAGCACAGATGTCTATAGATAAAGGGACTAAAGACAAACAGCTAAAGCTTTCTCACTGCAGGGTAGAGGGCTGAGAGGGCTGGGGGACTTTGTAGTTTATATTGTAGGAAAGAATATCTAGTATTTTCCAGGCTGAAAATACATATAGGCAACATCCATGGACCCCTCTTCATAGCTGAAAATCTTGCAAGGCCCCGGCAGTCAGTGTGGGTACAGCTCTGACCCTGGGAGGGATCGAGAGTGCCATGGAGCCCACGACACCCTGGGGTTCCCCAGCTGTCCCACGGGAGGGACACCCCTTGGCCTCGCTGGGCCAGGCATTCCTGTGGGCATGTCAAGGCCCATGATAGGGATGGTGCCCAGCCTCCTGGGCTTAGCTCCCCCTACCCCTACAGATCATAGCAGCTCAGCCAAAGGAGGGCCAGCAGCCCCAGCCACCCAGAGACCTCCCCACCCACTGACCAGGCCCCAGTGAGGCCGACCCGGCAGCTGGACACCCTGCCCAGGCCGGACACCAAGGTGAGGCAGAGCCAGCCTGCTCCCCAAGGCCCACAGCAGACACCCGCCCCTGGCCACCCCCGTCGGCAGCTTCAGCGTGACCTGCAAAATGTTGCAAATAAAATGCTCATTTAAAAGCCATTAGAGGTGTGGTTGACAGACGGAGATTTATGAAGATTGAGGGACATGAGGAGACGCTGGTGTTGCGGGTGCTGGCGTTCTCCGCTGTGTGTGCCTGGGGATGTGAACAGTCTAGCTTCTATCCAACGGGAGGCCCCGTCTCGTGCATCTCAGGCGTGGTGTGCTGGAGAGGGCGGTCCCATGTCTTCCTCCTCCAGGGTTTGTCAGGAACGTGGGTGGTGTGGTTATTTTCCCTGATGATCCTTCAGCCGCTAACATTCGATTCCGGGAAGAGCCATTTCTGTCTCCTGTTTCAGTCTCGTGCGTGTGAAACAAGCTGGTTGATGCAGTGAAGCCTGGGACCCCCATGTGGATGGGCATCGCAGGGGGACAGCAGAGCCGTGGTCCAGGGGCTCAGGGGACGGTTGCAGGGCTGGACTTTGGGGCCATGTCCCCTGGAACATCCCTGGGGTGCGCTGTTTGACAACACGTCTTTGGCTGGGAGGACCCCTGGCCTTCCTCGGACCCCCAGGCAGGGGATGGGGTGTAACCCAAAAGAGGCCTGGCCCCAAGCAGACCATGATAGGGTCATCACCAGGAGCCAGCCAGGCACGGGGGCCCCAGAGGGAGGCCTGCGTGGACACAGATGGGCGTGGTCACTCCAGAGAGGACAACAGGCCCTGGCCTGCGTGAGCAGCCGGGAGCTGAGCCGCAGGCCTGGGGCAGCTGGGGCAAGGCTAAGGCCCCATCGTGGCCGTGACGTCCTCATTCCCAGCCACGATCAAAACAAGACCTTCATGGGCAGCATGTGTCCGGCAGCAGGACCCCTCCCACCTTCTGTTCGCCCTGCCCCTTTCAAACTGAGCCCAAGCCTAGAAACATCCAGGTCCCTGAGCTGCTCCTTCCCCAGGTTCGATGCAGCCCCTGGCTGGAAGGCGGCTGTGCATCTTGAATCTGAGACAGACCCAGGCGTGGCCTGCAGCTGGCTGCATTTGGGTACAGAGACAGTGTTGGGTGCCCTCAGGGCTCCTGGTGAGCAGAACCAAAGGTGTTCATGTCATTTCCACGTTATTTTCCTTGTGCAAACGTGTCTCTTTCCCCTTCTAAGGGCACCAGCTCGAGGGCTTCTGTTAGAGAAGCTGCCTCCAGCGTACACGGCAGCCATGTCCCCAGGCCGCCGCCCGGCCCCAAGTCTTCAGCAGCCCCTCCCAGTGGGGACATTGAGGCAGGCTCCCCTTCCCAGACATGGAGAGGTCATCCCCTTGGGCCAGTCTCTGCAGCAGTTTATGGCATGGTCTCGGGGTCGTGGGTGACCTCTGAATTTGTGACCACTTGGCCAGAGGAGATGCAGGGCCCTGGCACTGGCCACCCCCATCTGCCCACTCAGCCATTCCAGGTCCTGTCTCCCGCCTTGCATACAGCCTCTCCCACTTTTTTGCCTTTGCCTCAGGATAGAAGTCCTGGAAGCTGCCAAAGACTCGGCGGGGTGTGCTGAGGCCGGAGCACCCCGTTCCAGGGCTCTGCTTTCCGCACAGATCTGTGCTTAGTGT